GTTGTTGCACTGCAGGTACAGTGTAATCACACTGCAGCTGTACATCTGAATGCCTGTAATTTCCACTAACCTTCATGTTAACCACATGATTGAAATTTGGATTCTACCTGTTCTCATACTGCACAGTAATTGTGTACTTTCTGATACATACATCTATTACAGACTCAAATAAATAGAAAGACGTTGCTGCGCTGTCATCACCGTACAACTGCAGTGCAATTACAGCTACTATTTGCAAATGGAACTGTAATTTCTAATGTTCACAATAATTAAATAATTTGAGCAAAGCTACTCATTGCACATCTGCTTCTTTGGAGGTAATGCTATTGATTTCAGTGGACCTATTCCTGATTTGTCCTGGTGTAAGCAAGAAGAGAGGCAGGCCTCAGAGTTTTGTGGCAAAAATGCATCTGGGACTGTTTTGTACATTTAGGGCCAGATCCCCAGCTGGCATTAATCAGCATAGCTCTGGGGAAGATAATTTATACCAGCTGGGGTTCTGACACTTTCATCTGAAAACAACAGAATACATAGATTTATAAATTATTTGCAGAAGGAGCTGTACTGTCTATGCAAACTGTCTGCCCATGTACCTAGTAGGGCTGAAGCCCTTGGACAGCACTGCAACAGGGCTTCCAAATAATAATATTAATATAAACTTTCAATTGGGGCCAGTGAGAATTCATAGATTTCATAGATTTCATAGACATTAGGGCTGGAAGGGACCTCGGAAGATCATCGAGTCCAGCCCCCTGCCCAAAGGGCAGGAAGTCAGCTGGGGTCATAGGATCCCAGCAAGATAAGCATCCAGTTTGCTCTTGAAGGTGTTCAATGTAGGCGCTTGATCCACCTCCAGTGGCAGGCTGTTCCAGACCTTAGGGGCTCTGACAGTAAAGAAATTCTTCTTTATGTCCAGCCTGAAACGGTCTTGTCATAGTTTATGACCATTCGACCTAGTCGTCATCCCTTGGGGCGCTCTGGTGAACAAACGTTCCCCCAGATACTGGTGGTCACCCCTGATAAACTTGTAGGTGGCCATCAGATCACCCCTGAGCCTGCGCTTTTCCAGGCTAAAGAGCCCCAGGGCTCTCAGCCTGTCATCGTAGGGTCTGCTTCCCTGACCTCTGATCATGCGCGTGGCTCTTCTCTGCACTCTCTCAAGCTTCTCCACATCCTTTTTGAATTGTGGAGCCCAAAACTGGACGCAGTACTCCAGCTGTGGCCTCACCAAGGCCGAGTACAAGGGGAGAATGACGTCCCGGGATTTGCTTGAGAAGCATCTATGGATGCAAGCCAGCGTTTTGTCAGATTCTCGTCCGCCCACTTGCTGAGCCTGTCCAGGTCAGCCTGGATCACCCGCCTGTCTTCTGGTGTGGACGCTTTACCCCGAAGTTTGGTGTCATCGGCGAACTTGGCCAGTCCACTTCTGACTCCAGTGTCCACATCATTAATGAAGATGTTGAACAATATGGGTCCAAGGACAGAGCCTTGGGGGACCCCACTGGTCACAGGACACCACGATGAGTGACTTCCATCAATTACTACCCTCTGGGTCTGACCACGGAGCCAATTTTCCAGCCAGTGGATCGTGGAGGACCCAAGGCGACAATTGGCCAGTTTCACCAAGAGGTGATCATGGGAAACCAGATTGAAGACTTTTTTGAAGTCAAGATATATGACATCTATCTCTTCTCCCTTGTCCAGGTGATAGTTCACCTGGTCATAGAAGGAAATGAGATTGGTCAAGCAAGACCTACCCGCAACAAACCCATGCTGGCTATCCCTTAAGATGTTGGCATCGGCCAGTCCATTAAGGATGGCCTCTTTAATAAACTTTTCTAAGATCTTCCCCGGGATAGAAGTCAGGCTGATGGGCCTATAGTTAGCCGGATCCACTTTCCTCTCTTTCTTGAAGATAGGCACCACATTGGGCTTCTTCCAGTCTTCGGGCACTACACCAGAGTGCCAAGAATATTTAGCCTGTAAATATACCAGTCCTTGCGGTGCAGGCTGGTGTATCATGCATATGCTAATATAAAAAACCTTACAAAAAGCTAACCTAAGATTAATATTAATGAAAATTCTTGAACATATACTGTTGGTTAGGTCATAAATAATTCACTCAATTGAGTGCTTGATCCTCATTTAGAACTTCTATACTGTCATAGTTGTTGTATCAGAAAGACAGGTGTAGTGTCTGGGCATCTCCTGGCAGTTCATTGTATAACGTGACCAACATCTGCCACATGTGGTCCTTTCCCATTTCTCTGAGGGAAAAGATTGCATCTAGAACAAGTAGATCAAAGCACCAATTATTTTTCATGGGAATTTTTTTTTTCTAAACTTCCCATGAAAATATCACTTTTTTGACAAAAATGTATTGTTTCTTTAGAGAAAGGTAGAAATGTTCAATTTGCAAAGTCTGGAAATGTATTGAAAATTAGTAGTTTTAATGATCTGCTTACTGCTTTTTCTTTAAAAAGTGGAAAATTGCAAGCAAAAAGAAAATGTTTGTTGTGGTTGTAACATTTTTTTTTCTTGAAAAAATGTTTAGGTACAAATGTCTCATCCCAGGCTAGAATACTATCTACCTGCACCTGATACAAGTTTGGATGGAAACTCTGAGGGGATGAACTGTATAATGCCACTACCTATCTGAGCGGTTTTCCAAAGAGAGCCTAGATATAAGATTATTATGGACAGCAGAGTTTAACTACTGGAGATAGAAGTGCCTTGTTGGTGTGGTGGTAATCTTGTTGAACCAGGTGTGAGAAAAGCGGAGTTCAAACACTTGTAGTAATTGGACATATTATTTGCTCCAATATAGCAGCATATGGGCCTTTATCTTCATTGCAGAGTTGCCATGAGTGATTAGCCTGGCCTGGGTGTGAGTAGTTTCAGCAGAAGCCTTATATGAGTTACTGTGTTCCTGTACTCACTAGTGTGTATTGCTGAGACTTCTTAGAGGACATTTTATAGTTCTTTGTGCTGCAGTGAATTAAGCTACTCTTTGCTTCTATCCCAGTAAACTGTTTGAGAATTTGGAGAAAACAGTGAGAATACTTTAAAGGGCTATTGGTACTCAGAGGATTTAGCCTGTGTCATCACTGGCACATGAGCAGAATACCAGCAGAACTCGGACTACTACCTACATCCCATGATGGGCCAGTCTGCATGGGTTGGAAATAACCCAAACATTGATGAAAGGAGTTTCTGTACAAATGAAAGGAAGGCTAGGGGCAAAACCTGAATAAAAGCCCACTTCCAGTAAAGATGTTCCCTAGTAATTAGGGCTGTGCAAAGCTTCGGTCCCTGATTCGATTTGGTGGAGATTTGGCCCAATTTGGTGGCTGAATCTCCAAATCTGAATTGAATCAGGGGACCTTTTAATCTCTCCAAATTGAATTGGAACCCTCTGAATCAATTCGGAGATTTGGACATAGAGACAGCTTTAAATGTCTTTTTCTATATACCTCTGGGTAGCAGGCAGCTCGTGAGTGCTGTGATGCTGGGGCGCATGAAGTGTCCCACAGAAGCTGTGCCGGGGAGCACACTGGGGGCACCACTGTGCCCCTCTGACTTGGTTACTGGTGCCTTCTGGGTCTGGGGGGGACCCGGAGGACCCCTTTGGCTGATTGCCAAACCGAGGGGAGGTGCAGGGGGACCCCCTGTACACTCCCCAGCAGACCCGGAAGTGGACCGGAAGTACTTCTGGTCCACTGGCAGGTTCACCGCCGAGCATGTGGAGGGCCCCCCATACCCCTGTGGGACGCTCCATGCACCCCAGCATCACAGCGTTCACAAACCTTGCTGGTACCTCAGGTTATGTAGAAAAAAACTTTTAAAGCTGTGTCTGTGTCCAAATCGCTGATTCTCTGAATCAGCATTGAATCTTCAGATTCAGATTCAGCTGAATAGAATCAGGAACAGTGATCCGAATCAACAAATCGAATCACTGCCCCTGATTCAGGCTGAGTCTGAATTGAATAGGGCCCACTTCACATGTTCCTACTAGTAATATAAAATGATATTATGGTCCTTCTTATCCTTAATCTTTGAACTGACTTGTCTTCATTTCTTGGCTAGGGACAGAAATTACACATAAACTGGTTTAAGTGATCAGCCACTGGTTTAAACCTGTAACAGAACAGAAGTTCAGTGCACATAAACCTTTTTCAGAATGGATTAAACTGGTTTAAAATAAACCTGGTTGAATTTCATATCAGACTTAACTGATTTGGGTTAAGCCAGTTTATGAAATTTCTGTCCCAGACCCCTTCCTGGTTCAAGTTAAATCATAGTCCCCCAGCATGCTTTGCAGCCCTGAGCTGGACTGGGCTGTACTGACTGCTTCAGCAGAGAATGGTTGTTGGGGGGTGGGGGGGAGAAGGAAAAGGCAGGAACTGCCCCCCTGGCAAACCCTGGTAGGGGTCTGGGGCTGGGGAGGGGGGTTAAACTCCCCTTCCCCTGAGTACAGAGCTGCCCTGCCCTACTAAACATACTGTTGGCTGCTACTATGGACTATAAATCCCAGAGACACCTGGAAGCAGGAAGAAGAAGCGATAAGCAACCCGACAGAGTCCTGCTGCTGTGATTCAAGACTGCAAATCCCAGAGACCTTGGGGGCAGCAGAAAGCAGAAGCGAACACACAGCCCATGCTGGCTATGTACCAGAGAGTCGTGCTCTAGTGCCCCCGGCTTCTGGCCTGAGCCACTGCAGGCATGTGGCTGCATTTCCTGAATCAAAAGTAAATGTCCAGTTGTTTCTCAGTTTAATGTCTGCAGTTTAGACTAACCTGCAAAGACTGAATCGATTCAGCCTTGGGCTTTTTGACTGTCTGTATTTAGCCCTACACAGCAAGAAGCTCTCTGTTAATCTCAGAGTCATAGTTTCTTTGGCCCGCTAGCTGGCAGTAGTGCTCTGTTCATTAACTCCTGTATGTGGATCTTTCTAGCTTTAATTTCATTATGTACTACTTCAGGTCTTTTTCATCCCACAGGCTGAAAGCACAGTTCTTTGCTTGCTGCTTGGCTGCTCCACTGACAGGTCCTCAGATGAATCATCCAGCTCGACGGCTGGCTGTGATTGTAGCCAGTATTATCATTTTGTGATCTTAATTCATGTTAATATTTTGCCTGGGAATCAGTCCATCTGTGTTCAGCCCCCAGCTGTATTTTGTTGAGAAAGAATAGGGCAACTGTGTACAGCATGTTTCTACGCATGAAAAGCAACCATGTGCCTTCAGTGGCTTTTAATTTACAGTACAGAAAAACAACAGCATGAGCCAGTAAAAGTCAGAGGGCACAGCATGAACGTCTCTGTCTGACAAACTGCAGCAGCTCTGAAGCCAGCTTGGTTGCACCTGTGTATATAGGGAAAGCACTTAGAAACCCCCTGCCCCCATCATACCTCAAAGCAAAAACAATCAAAATGAGTCCCTTTTGAAAATCTGCTGACAAATTTTCCACAAAAATGTGTGTGTCATTTTTCCCTTGGTCAGCCATGATTTTACTCTCTACAAAAGTGGTTTTCAACCTTTTTTCATTTGCAGACCCCTTTTGAAATTTCAAATGGAGGTGCAGACCCCTTTGAATTGTAAGTGTGGGTATTCACATGCTTTTGATTATAGTCATCTTTCACGGACCCCTTAGGTATAATCTGTGGACACCCAGGAGTCTACAGATCAAAGGTTGAAAACCATTGCTCTACATAATCACTTAGGCTGCTTACAGATGTTTAAAAAAATGGCACTTTAAACTTGGCACACCTGGATCAAGCCCAGCACATGCACAGCAGAGGTATCGGGTTATTTTGACCTGGCTTGCCCAATGTCTGTATAAATCAGGCACTTCACTGGGATTTTTGGTGCTTTTCTTAAATGGTTGATTGAATCTGGTTTAGATAAAAGTGCCAAAAAGCCCCACCGAAGTGCACTGTGGAGCTGGGTCAAACTAATGTGCTGTGGTTTTTGTTTTGTTTTTTCATATCTATGAACAGCCTAAGAAACAGGCTATCTCTAGAGAGCACCCCATAGTAGTTAGTAGTGGGTAGGGCATAACTATCCACCCAAGAAGACTTCTTCCTTTCTTTCAGGGGCAAGTCATTTACTACTGGCTACAGCAGCAGAAGGCTGCCTGCCTGCCTGTCGGTGGTAGTTTGGACAGATCAGGCTGCAATAACACCAGTAATGTTTCCTTTATTGCCTTTGCTGAAGCTGTTCAGTGAGGAGGGGATTCTGTTGTTCAAATAATAAAAATAAAGGTGTTGTGCCAAAAGGTATATGTACTTTGGTAACTGAGAAGTGAGGTGATCCCCACAGCATTTCTGAAGCCACAGCTCCTTGGGGTCCTACTGGTCTACAGAGATTGTTCCAGTTGTCATTCTGGGCCAGGCCAGGTATAAATCAGCCCATCTAATCAGATCTTTTCCCTGTCCCTTCCCCCAACCCCTCCCCAGAGCTACTAAATGAATACAAGACTTTAAATTTTGTCACAGGACCCCCATGACAGGAACATGGAATTTGAAGCAAAGTAATAGGCTCTGGCATGACTCTGGGCCCAATCCTCCTCTGACTAAGGTCAATGGGAGTATTTGACATTGACTTTGGGGCAACATTGGACACAAGATTTTACCCATTCTACCTTGTTTTCATGTGGAGAAAAATAGCTTTATACAGGTCTAAATGCATTTGTCCTGAAGTTTATTTTGATAAAACAAGGGAAGCCTCACCAGGAGGCTGTAGTGGTGCACTTAACTGCCTCACTTTATCACTGCAGGAGAGCAAGAGACTGATCTTGTTGTCAGTCTTATCAGTGCAAATGGCAGCAATTCCACAGAAGTCAATTTATCCCCAGTTAGATGAGTGTAAATGGAATTAAGCAGGCCAATGGATTTAAGTCCTGCTGTAAATAACCAGCAAAAATAGTGTGTGGGAGGGAGGAAGTAGATACAGCTTGGCTTAACGAGTATTCATGTGTCACAAAATTCAACATGGTCATTCTCTTTGCAAGCCCAGAAATTTTTTCTGTCCTGTCTCCTGTAGTCCCTTCCTTAACTGCACTTTCTTTTGTACTTAAATCCCTTTCCATCTCTATACATCTTATTGAATTGGTTCGAATAACATCCCAGGTGAAGGTCAAAAGAGAGGTGTATTAGCAAAGCAGTTGTGGGTGAAGTGGGGACAGGACTTGGAATAGCAAGGGTGCTGCAAGAGAAGTCTAAGGTGCATTAACAGAGCTGTAGAGTGGGGGAAAAGGGAGTGGAATAGCAGGAGATGTTGTTAACAACAATTAGGCTGTGTTATCAGTGCTGAGGAGCACACAGAAGGAGTGGAATAGCAGGGGTCCTGAAGGTTCGAGTTGAGATGCACTGGAAATCTATGTGAAGGAACCATGTTTGGTGGCTACCTGCATTACGTTCCAGTTATATTCCCATTTACAGCCAAGTAAATCAGGAGTGACTGCAGTGTAGCCGATGGATTACTCCAGATGTAACTGAAATCAGAATCTGGGCTTTCTTTTGTAGGAGCTACTGCTCTCAATCTCCCCCTCACAAGCACCAAATCGATATGTGACTTCTAAAACTATGTTGCAGAATGAAAGTGCCCTGTATAGGATCTGCTACAGGTTTTTTCTGTCTTTCCAGATACCTGTTTAGTTCTAGGAGATGGAATCAAAGGAGGAAAGCAGGAAGGGGATTTGATTTCTCTTGGTACAGAATTAATGACATATCCTTGGGTTGATTTTTTTTTTTAATGCTCTTTTTAATTTTAGCAGAATTCTAATAGCAGGGGATTTGTATAGTTATGGAAAACAGTCAGAGATACAGACAATAGTCCAGGGGTTATAAACAGCCTTTGAAGGAGTAGTTTTTAATCATGGAAGGTCAGGATGCATCTGTTTTCCTCAGTGGTCAACAGAATTCCCCTATTTAATCATAGTTTGCAGAGAAGGAAAATTAGAATAGGTTTTTTAAAACCTCTTGAAGGGATACCACCCCCTCAGAATGATGCATGTTTAACCTCTTGCACCCTGAGAATTTGGAATATAATGAACATCCACTGGACATTGATTCATAGCTGTAGGCCCAAACCTGCTAGTGGTCCACACACTTGCACAGCCTTCATATGGATAGAAGCCTATTGAAGCCAGTGTAACACTTAAACCACTTCCTTTGTAACACTAATCCCTAAGTGGAGATCAGAGGAGGACAGAAATTACACATAAACTGGTATAAATGACCAGAAACAGTTCAAATCTAGAACACAGCAGAAGTTCAGTGCACATAAATCACTTTCAGAATAGCCAATACAGGTTTAAGATAAACCTGGATTGGATGTAGTATCAGATTTAACTGACTTAGGCTAACCTGGTTTATTGAACTTCTGTCCCATAGCCCCTCCAGATTCAAGTTAACTCGCTGTCCTCCAACATCCCAGCATGCTTTGCACCTCTCCCGCAATGCCCCACCCCCTGCAGGATGGGCAAGCTAGCTTTGGCCCAAGCTGTCTGTTCCAGCAAATCAGGGAGGTGTTCTCTGTCATCCCCCAGCCTCTGGCCTGGAGCATTGCAGGCGTGTAGCTGCATTTTTGGAATCAAAAGTGAATGTCTGCTCACTTGTTTATTGGTTCAATCTATGCAGCTTAGACTAACCAGTGAAGACTGAATTGATTCAGCCTCTGGCTTTTTGACTCTCTGTACTTAATCAGAATGTTGACACTCCAAACACTCATTACTCATTACATATGATGCTGTGCCCTTACCTCTCTAAGGAGGTGTAGATGCTATAAATACCATACATGGCTGACACAGATAAATAAGAGGTACATAAACTTTAGGCCCAGTCCTGCTAATTGCTAAGCAGTCTCTGGGCAGGAAAGATACTCAGTGCCTCACGAGAGACACTTAGCATCATGCAGGACTGGGCTCTCTCTGTTTATGAGCAAATAAAACCCTGGGTGCTACATTTTGGTGGTTATTTTTTACTGAAAATTGTGCACATCATGACTACTCAAATTTCTCAGCAATAGTACAGCTAAGAACACAGGCCCCTACCGTAGCACAGACTATGGGAGAATACCTTTGTACATTAATAGTTCTCCTAAGTCAGGGTGGCCAACCTGCAGCATAAGAGACACAAGCAGCAGGGTCAAGCTCTTGTGGCAGATCAGGGAGAGGACAGGAAGCCCAGCAACAGACAGGACAAGAAGCAAATTGGACAGGAAGCACAGGGCTTGGAGCAGAAAGCAGCACAGCGGATCAGGCAGAGGAAGGTGATTAGGGCAGCACTTGGGTAGGCATGCCTGCAAAAAATGTTAGCCCTCACTGTCCAAAAACATTCAAGTTAAAAAAAATCTGGTCCCAAACAGAAGGGGGCAGTGGTGGTCCAGCCAGTTCTTGGTAACAGTCAAAATCAGGCACAAATAGAAATAGTCCTAAAAAGCTTAGGTTAGCTAAGCAGCAGCTGAAATGTATAGTCCTATATAGGAACTACAATCAACTCAGCCCTTAATTGAAGTTTAAAATGCAATTAAATCTTTTATTGCTTTTTAATTTTAATCTTACTGCCTCTCCAGAAGGTCAGTCTGATATGCCTATAGGCAGGCAGCTTTATTTCAGCTAGATGCTAAAGAGTTATACTTCTTCAAACTAGGAGCTGGAAGATTTATAATCTCACTAGGCTCACCCCCTTCACTGTCACTACTTATTTAATTAGGCAGCATGAATCCCTCACCACAACATGCCAGGGAGCGAGGTGTACCTGCAGACAAAGGCTGCTTTTAGGTTTCAGGTACTGCATTTGGATTCAGGTGATCTGGGCCCAGCTCCTAGCTGAGTGATCTTAGACAGGTCATTTTGTTTTTCTGTGCCCTGCTGCAGTGCATCTCATCTTCAGAAGCAAGACAGGACTCCTTCCATTCCCCCACCATTTAGCTGTCTTGTTGATACGGTGACCCCAACAAGGAGGCTGTTCTCTACTGTGAACTGCAGGAAGTGCCACAGCTTAAATAAGAAGTTGTATTCTAGCTCCCTAGGCTGAATCACTATACTACCCACCAGGAAGAAAGATATCCCCAAAATTGCCTCTTCCAACCCAATTTCAACTCCCAAATAGGGTGGAGGGGATAGGTCTTGTACTGTGGTTCTGGACAATTCTCGTACCCTTTTCTTGTTTGTTTCCCCATTTTTAAAGATGGGGGAGAATGGCCCTGACATCAGAGGTGTGCTCTGAGGCTCAATTCATGGGCGTAAGATACCTAGAGCCCTTTGAAAAGAGTATACTATTGAAAGACATGCTAACTTTTTCTGTTCACTGTTCCTGAGATAATTATTCATTAAAGGTTCTGCAAGGGAAAAAGCTCTCCCCTCACTGCTGCTTTGTGTGAATACAGCTGCACGGGGTGTAAGCACACCCAATTCTTATTGAGTGCCTGCATAGCAACTCTGTTAATTTTGCTTTCTGCATATGTGTAATTATCACATCTACAAAACTCATTAAAATATGTTAATTTCAGGAAGGGAGAAAAAATAGAACTTGTGCTCATGCTGCTGAGTAGAACGAACGGTGCAGCGCAGCCTGCTTAGACCCTCCAAGCACAGCCAGCAAACAGCAAGAATGTCTCTTTGATTATAATAATACATTGATACAAGTGAGAGCTGGGTAGAGAAGGGGATTTTGGAGATCCTGGGCTCCATTTCCAGCTCTGCCGTGGCATCTCAGGGAGCATAGGGGAGTCACACCAGCTCTCTGAGCCTCATTTCCCCTCAGGTGTACAATGGCAATGACAGCGCTCTGCCTTCCTCAGGAAAGGCCTGTGACATTCCGCTCAGTGGTGTTTATCAAACACTTTGTGCTTCTTGAATGAAAGGTGCTAAAGAAGAATCCAGCATCATCATTACCTGCCTTCATCAGTGCTTCACAGCTGAGGAGATGAAAAGACTTTACCAGCGTTAATGACCTGAATCTCTGAGCATGCTGTGAGGAAGATGAGCATTGCCTTCCTCCATCCCGAGAGAGTGCCTGGATTAGCTGACTCTACCCCACTGTTGCTGTGCTAGGGGTTAAACCAAGCAATTCTGACTTGCAGGCCGTTTCTCTAATAGCTAGGCTCTTCTGCCATGTGTATTTCTCTCCATTTAAAACATGTGTGAGAACTGGGCCAAATACTATTTCACTTTATGCACAAATGGCACACACACAGAGCCACATAACTGCTGGTTTGGGCACTTATGCACCCTTTGTGATTCAGTTGCATGGAAAATAGGATCATCTAGGT